TAAGTAAATGCACAATGTCCCGTGTTGAAAATGTTGGCAATATTTCGCACAATACCATGCACTGTTGACTTCGAAATGTCGAAGGTATTGCTTTCTTCTCTCATTGACTCTTGGTTTACTAAGTACCAAATAAAAATCATTAGCTGCTTCTCTGGGGAAACCTGCTGTCTGCCACCGGCATGTTCTGATATAAGTAAATATCCAATTCGCTCTAAAATATAATTAAATACGGCTGATTCGAAAGTGAAAAGAAAAATCACATGAGTACTCCGGTACGATTACTTCTGCGAAATCCCGGATTCTAGGAACATATTTCCTACGCAAAAATAGCGTAATTAACGCAGCAATTGACATGAAATTAGATAAAATATCAAAAATAAAACCATCTTCAGTCTCTTCTGTAATTTGTTCAAAAAACTGCTGAAAAGTGACAAATTCTTGGAAGTTGTCGGCCATATTGTATATATCCGTGAGTGCAGATTTTGCCATTCGTTTGTAATCTCCCGGGTTACGATGCTGCGCATGAGCATTAACGAAGCCTGACGTAGGTCCTACCTACTCGGGTCATGACCCGCGTTAGAATCGAACTCGGCCTAGAGGACACTAGTTAACAGATGCACTTCATCTTTAGAGGGCGCTAGTTAACAGATTCACTTCATCTCTCGAGGGCGCTAGTTAACAGATGCACTTCAGCTACTTATGATAAGTTCAATTAAAGGGAAGTTTGATGCAGCTAATCACAAATATAAAGATTAGTCTACAATGAATTTAAATTTGTCTAACATTATTTTTTTTTTCAGAAATATTTATTGTGTAATCCAAGTCATTTAAAAACTGTAGTTGATGAACATTATTTTATTAATGAAAGCATATCACAGATTAAGTAAGTATCAGTGAACTAATATATCATGTTTACATTGTGATTGAAGCTTATAAGAAACAGTATGTTAAACTATTGAAAGTACTAACAAAAACTACTACATGAACATTTAATGTAATTTGTTTCTAACATTTTGCATATTTTTTTTTCTCTTCTTTTTTTTTGGGTGGGTGGTGTTGATTCATATTTTGGTTTTGTCTCAAAAGATTATCACCATAGAAACACCTTCATTTTCAATATGGTTTGCGTATTCATTTCAGTACTTTGTGGCAGATGAAGTCATTTCCATCTAATATATCTGTTACCGTGGTAACAGGAAACTATTATGATGAGCAGCTTCCAAGTAATCTCAATACAGTGAGTAAAACTGTGATCTCAGTGCATGACAACTTTGTAGTTTATTTTCTTACCAAACTACATGCTTAGTGATGAATGGATTTTGTAGTGATTTGGATTTCACAGTGTGTGAGTCCTTTAGAAAGAACATTTCACTTTAAATTGTAGCTAACACAATAATCCATAAAACACTAACATAGTTGTTGAGTGTGATTACTAAAGATGTATTGTCAGGAACATTTGACATGGATGTTTGACAATATGTCTGATATATAAACTTGTCAATAGGCAAACATCACAAACTGTTCCATGGATTTAGTTGTGATTGAGTTTTCACCATCTTAGGATGTCAGCAAATCCTTAATAACACCTCTGTCTGCAATTCTCTGCAAATCGACTATATCAAAAAATTACACAACAGAGAATAGATTATAATGAAACTTGATACATATGTGCCCTGGAACAATACACTGACCTAATTACTTTGGAGTTGAAACTATGCATAATAATTGCTTAATTTGCATAATACCATTTTTTTTTTCAAAAACCAATTATTTCATTTCAATAAGACTTGGTATGTAAGTGCCTGGGAACAATCTATTAATTTTGTATTGAAATTTGAGCATACTAATTGCCGAATTTATTGATATTTCATGGATGCTCTGAAGTAATCAACAGACATGATTAATTTATTAATGAAAAATATGGATAATTATTATTAGCTAATTTTAATACATGTATCTCAAAATCAGATTTAAATTAAACTTATAGTAAAGGTGCTCTGAAATAAATTAGACTGAAAACCACAAATTGAATGTGGATCACATAGTTTTCACGTTGTACATCTCAAATAGCAGACAAAAATTAGTTGCCAAGCTGCTTGTTTGATAGGTTAATTAATTTTTAATATGTTTCCAATACTATCAGCACATAGGAGTTCTTTGATTTGTCCTTAGCAGAAGCCCAGATTAAGATTATTCTTTCGAATTTATAGGACGTTTTTACTTATGTTATTTATTATGTCTTTGAGAACTTTGAACATTGCACATCACATACTTCTTAAAGTTAGTTGTGTTTACTGTGCTCCCAAAGTATAATTTGAACAGCAGTGCATGATGGGATTTAATGTAGTAAAGACAAATAATAACTTAATAAACGGCGCAATACGGGGCAGCTTCTGATAAGAGCAGTCACAAATGATTTGATTTTTACTAAAGTTACTCAAAATTGAAAGTTATCAGCAAGTTTCGCCGGCAATACAATTATAAACAAATCAAGTTCTTGTACAGATGTTGACAATGCACTCGTTTAGGGAATGTATCATCAAATCATATGAACTACTAAGTATATGTAATATATATCTTTTTCGTGATCTGATTAACTTTGACTGACTGATGGCCATTTTAAATTCATTAAAATCATTAAATCCTCAACATGTTTTGAGAGATGACTGGGATAATTTCAATAAATCTTGTAAACCTATTGAGTTCCAGGTGCAAATACTTATGTTTATGAAATCCACTTGATAATGGCCGTCTGATTACCATTTTTGTCTGGTTTTATCTGGTTCTATCTGGTTCTCTGGATCAAAGTCTCAACCTTCACTTTTAATCTTATAATCTCAGTGACTTTATGTAGTTCCTAAATCTCAAAGGTCTATGCCATTTACAATTAGTAAACATTTGTATTCAGTTTAGCACAAACCGATATTTTGAAATTGTTCAATATTTAGAAATTTGTGTTTTCAGGCATGGGCTAAATCTCATCAGCATTTGATTTCAACATTGCACCCTGGTTGTAAACATATTGTGATAAATGGAGCCGATCATCATATGTTGTATCGAAATCCAGACGCAGTGACTGATCCAATCAAAAGACTGGTACGACAGTGGAGGCAACGTCGCGCAAAGACTGTCAAACAGTGATGACAAATAAAAATATTTTTAAATCACATTTTTAAATTTCTTGTGGCATATTTATTGTCTGTCTAGTGGTCACTTTGTTGTTGTCTGATTATCATAATTTAAAGCAATCTCAGAAGGTGATGGCTGCAGAAGGGAGATTTTCAGAACTAGATGCATGAAGCTGATAACAGCCACTGGTGGCGCTATATACAATCAAAACCTATTTAGGCTTGCCAACGCTCACGCCAGCGAACAGTGTAAAAAGCACAGACACTTGTTAAATTTAGTGACCAGTTTAGCATGATAGAAAGCGCGTATATAATAAATAACCACAATAGACAGGGTGGGGGTCAAGACCAAATATACATGATTCCGGAATTTCAAAATAAATTCTTTCTATTAATAATTGCACATTAAAATAATAGTCATGAGATATGTCTACGTCATAACCTCGTTAAAGATATTAGCATAGTGTGTATGCTTCAGGCCTCTTTTCCGTATTCCACAACGCATGCGTCATCTCGGTCAATTGCAATATACGTTTTATGCAGGTAACGTTCAGCACCGTCAATGAGGTTTGTCAATCAAACCTCTTCGACGGTGCTGAACGCCGCGTTTGTATTCGAAACCCACACATAAGCGACGCTATCAAATATGTGCACTAGCTAACAAGCCACACCAACCGACTGTCAGATAGTGAAAGATTTGTAAACACTCCTACCATTGTCATATTCTGTAATATGCCATCACAATTCAGGTTCCATATATCTGGATGTAGGTTGTTTGTGAGTTTAACTGAGACTTTTTCGGTAAATGTGACCATATATATTTGCAATCATATCTGGAGATTTACATTTCCTATAAAGACAGCACATACGACTTTTTTTGATTGAACGAATTTATTTACATCAGTGAGTATAGACTCGTATTTGTTCGTGCTTGAAAGTCAGTTACTTAATTTGTAGATGTGTTTGTCTGGGGGTGAAAACGTCCAATGAAAACTTAAGGTAGGATATCTACTTTTAATATGTAATATTATGTTTCCAGCTCGTTCTATGGAGTGTTGCGTCGTATATTAGCGAAGTGGAAATGTGCTTTAAAGTAAGTTGTTATGGAGACAAACCTTAATTAGGCTGATTGTTTGGAAGAGACAATGTCTCTTCAAACACTCTGTATATGTCTTGGCCATACCGGGTGAGGCGAGTTGAGAGGGAGAGAGGAATATTACTTTAGTGGTAAGTTGAAATATGTTTGTCATAAGTCAAAGTACAAATTATATCGTTTTCTTCTGGAGTTAATTTATATATCATTGGAAGATAAATGCTAACTTTCAAGTTTCGTGAAGTTCATTAAAGGACGGTGGTCGTCGCGTCACGCATGTACGAGACTCGTATGAACAAAGATGGCGATTTTTACTTTTGCACAGACCATGCCAACGAATACAAACTGAGACGTCACTAAGCTTTAACTATGTAATTTCTTTGGTGATGTGAAGGTATCAAAGGAGTCACCTGCGGTAATTAGTGCACATCGCACCCAGGTCAAAACTTGTACTCGTGATTTCATTTATCAAGTGAACATAAATGTTGCACATGCGCAGTGTGACGACCACCGCCCTTTAACTTTTTATTTTATTAACTAATTTTTAATATAATGCAGGACTATGAAATCATTCGTAATATGTAAATTATATCGCTACTTTCGTCGTACGGACCCATGTTCGAATTTTATATAACTACTATTGTATTTTGCTCGCATTTTGTTTCGCATGGCCTCGTATCTACCGCGACGCGACGCCGCGCGTCGACTGTCTGTCTGAGCATTGCCCCTTCATTTACATAATTTTTTATTCACGCTTTCGCAATGATGACGAGCTCTCTGAGAATCGTTAATTAGATCAAGATAAATTGTAATTGTGTAAGTACAATCTGTTAACATTTAGTTTATTGTACATTCTCGCCAAATAAATAAAGTTAAATGTGACAATTAGTTTTGGAGTTTTCGTCTTCATTCTTCTTTGAGAAAAACAAAATTATTGCACAAAATACGCTAGCTGTAAGCAGGTAATATTTGCTTGATTGGAATGATTACGTAGTACTGGATAATTCTATTATTGCTTTGGGTAGGGTCGACACCAGAATGCGAAAGCTATGGACGACAAAGCATCGATTGGTCGGGAAGATCAGCTGCACACACCTTATTACATATTTGTTAGTTGATGACACATTGAAGTGCTTCAAGTTCATGTGGGTTGCAGTGGGCAGCGTCTCTGAACATCAATCGAGATCTTTGCCATTATCAATGAGAAAGGTGTCAATTTAATTTTGTAGTTCGGGAAAATAGTCAGTTGTACTGGGAAGTTGCAAACGTTGTATTGGAAAGCCCGAAAGAAGTTATGAAGAACACGGAGCGTTGTTTGCAAATTACGTAAAGTGACTTTGGAAGAGTGTGAATTTGTATTTACGGTTCTAGAAATTTTTCAGGAAAATATTTTGCAAAATCGTCAACGTGGTTTGGGACCGAAATAGCCATGTTCGTGTTAGATGAAATAATTACAGAGATGTTAAATACTGTGTCTCAATTCCTATATGTGTATAGGTAGTATAATGTAATTTCATTCTGTGTGTATAAATCTTATAAATTAGCTCTGTTATTATGTGTCATTTACAAAACAGTTCGATACATGACTAATTTGTAAATCAATAATAGACGACTTTGTACTGTAGTTTATACCACGTTCTCAACTAGATCCCCGACCAATGTCTCCAGCTCCTAGTCTTCTGCCTTCCAAAGAAAAAAAAAGAGTAAAAACGTTTTCCAACGACAACCACAGAAATGAAAGCCGAGTCTAACTCAGTTGTGTTTGTTATAATCCGGAATGGGCATTCGGGGATCGATGCAGCGAAGAGAAAAAATGATGACCTTCTGTCCGAAATACCTCTTTGATTTCCAAATATGCAGTGGGAGAAAAGGACCCATTGTCTCCCAAAAATGGCAATATCAACCCCTTGACAATATGAAAGCATAATTTATATACTCCTTGGGCGTCACTGTTCAACATTTTCCACGAGTGTATCGGCAAAAGATGACAATTTTTAAATGCATGTTTTTATCACTGACACATTTGTTTTGGTGAAAGGAAACTGTTGCGAGAAAGTTGTCGAGTTTCGTGTTTTTTTATATATGAATTAGACAAAAGTAAATTACGGCTTATAATCCGCTGCAATTCATGGGTCCTGATTGGTCAACAGGTCCAGTCGTTTGATAAACACTCATAATAATATTACATTTTACTTTGAATGTATTTAGACATCGCTAGTGTGTATGCACCCGAATTTACCTATACCATAATGCACGGCTAATTCGAAGAGCAGGCGCGACAGCGTTTTAATTATAGTTCCATATGGCTTTACAATCAATTTACAATTAATCACTCAATTTTTCATATTTTAAATACTATTTATACATTCTGCGTGTTTAAATAAATTCAGGTAGAAGGCTGGACACAGATGTAATGAGTTCTGCTAATGTCGGTCTCCGGATTGCGGCGTTATAGCTATCCAACTAAATAATATCACCTGTACCAGCACATTGAAGCAAACTGTATTAAAAAGCTTCGAAATAAGCAGATGTGGAGCTAATATCGAAGTGTCAAGGGTCATATTGTGACCCGGACACAGTATTAAATCATTCATCGATATCGTTTCAATAATGATGATAAGAAATACATGTGGCCTACTGCTAATTTTACAATGACTTTGCAGTTCGAAGACATCCTCCAAATTATTGGCGAATTCAACCGTTTTCAGAAGATCCAATTATGTATGATATGTATAGCGAACATTCCCATATCGTGGCTTAGCTTGTCAAGTACTTTCCTCAGCGCTTCGTCGGACCATTACTGCAGGGTTACGGGCAACCAGACGTACACACCGGGCCAATCGCCGCTGAAGAACTGCACAATACCGTACACTTATTCAGGCGATGTGTTGACGTGGGACACATGTAAACGCTATGACAACAACGCGTCATTCCTGGAGTGTCGGCACCCCGACGACGTTGTGACGGAATGCGACAAAGGTTGGGTTTTCGATAGGAGCATTTACGAAAACACAGTCGTCCATGAAGTGAGTCTGAACCCCTGATCGGCCCGGGTTTATGTGCATTTTTGAGCAAAAAACAACAGCAAAACTCCCACATCAGCAAACGTTCATTTTGAATGATGTTTGTTATTATTATTAATTTAGTTCGTTCCGTCCGTCCGTCTATCCGTCCGTACGTACGTCCGGAGCTATATCTCGGACACAGTCAGCCGGCGCATACGTAATAATAAAATAAATACGATATTTACTATATAGGGGCCGCCATTTTGAATGCAGCATAAAACTAAATACTGTAAAAGGGTTATTTATTCACTAAGTTTTAATTTTGCTTATTTCGCTTATTTCATCAAAAAATGTCATTCCAGCTCAGCAGTCAGTCAGCGACGGCCTTTACAATCAGGTGACAATTTCGG